CCGCGACCGCCGCTTCTTGCGGAGTCCATGGCCCCGCGCCGGGCCATCCATGGCTCTGCCGCGCTGGGCTCTCCGCGCTCGCCGCCCACCACGGGCTCTGGCCGCGGCCACACACAAAAAAATTGACACGGAGCCCTGCTCCCCCTGCACGGCTTCCCTCCGCCCGAGGAGGACGCGGGGGAGACGGCGGCCGGAGAAGGGAGCGAGGGGAAGAAAGAGCAGAAAGAAGAGGGGGAAGGGGCGGAGAGAGGGAGGAGGGACGCGAGCAGGGCGAGCGGCAAAGCGCCCAAGTGTGGTGCTCCCCACAGCACCGAGGTGGAGATTCCGGCGAGCGGCGCCGAGCAAAGTAATGGCTGAACACACCGGTCTCCTTCGGAGGAAAAAAAAAAAAAAATAACTCCTGAGCAGGCAATAAATCAGAATAGCGGAATGCTTTGATCAGGAGACGGGGAGGCGGCAGGGAGCCCTCCCCGCGGCCATTCTCCGCCGCGCCCCCCGCGCCCCAAAAAAGCCGGCGCCCCGAATGCAGAATCGGGTCCAAAAAGGTCGCGGGAAAGTGGGGGGAATGAACTTCCCCCGCCCCTCGGGAGGCAGGCACCCCCGGCGCCTCGCGCACACACCTCAGAGAAAACTCCCAGGCTCCAGAACGTGCGCGAGATGCAGCCCGCGGAGGCCACCGCTTGGGAGCGAGGGGACAGGGGCGAGACCCCCCGGAGAGGGGCGCATAATAATGCAATAATTAGGAAGGGACGGCGAAAGTGGCCCGGGTGACGGAGACAGGAGGTGGAGGAAGGGGAGGACGATGCTGGAGCAGTTGTGGGGTTCGCTTTTCGGTCTTCGAGGGGGGAGGAGGGGGCGATGAAAGAAGAGAAGCAGCAAATCCTGACGGTGCCACCCCCCTCAAAAAAATACGTTTTCCAGTCCCCGAGAAGAGGTCACCCTTCCTCAAAAACGGGAGGGGGTGAACCAGTCGATGAGGGAAGCAGAAAGAAATCTCCAACAGGCAGGGGCACCGGTGTGCCGTCGCCGCTGCCGCTGCCTCTTCTTCTCGCCCCGCCGGAGGGAACGCCGCCGTCGCCGCCGCCGCTAACGCTGCCGCCGCCGCTGCCACGAAAGCCCCGAGCCGGAGGGTGCACGGCGTGTCCCCGGGCGGCT